TAGTAAAAACTGTGATGGCTTGAATTAGTGGAAAAGTAACTACTGGAGAGGAAAAGGTAATAGGTACCGTTTTAATTAGCTGCAAACGGGGGTCAGAAGGGAGATGGCAAGAGATGGGACCAATCCAATTCTCCAGAGCGTCCTGCAATACATCTGACGTCTGAAAAAGGGGGTCCCATTGAGAGAGTTTGAAAGGAATGTGTATAGCTTGAAGATCATGACCGAGCAAAGCCTTGGCTCGGTGACGTCCCTTGATACAAAGCAGAGCGAGCTGAAGGGCTCTAGAGGTGACAGTTGCCCTAGGAGTGTGAGGGAGGTGAAGCCATTCGATGATGCACAGCTTTTTTGTCTCGGGAGCAATTTGGAAAAGAATGGCTGTGAGAAGGGCTGGTGTGGGCAAGACAGCCAAGGAGAGCAGACAGTTGGGGATGATGCGATCCACCCATACGTGCTTTAAGGCGTTATTGACTTGGGCTAGTGCCTCCAAGTGCTGGCTTGTAAGATGGACCACATCTGAAGGATGTTTCAAGCCCGTGAGGGCATGGAATAGAGGGGAAAGGGTTGCAGTAGTGACAGGAAGATCAGGCCGTGCCCAATTGAGCGTGCCGAGATATTGTTGAAGTTGTACCAGAGTGGGTTGAGAAGGTAAAGACAGAGAGTTTTACTCAGAAAAGCGATGGGCTGGTATTGCCCCTCCCTTTCTCTGATATTTTGGTGAAATCAATCTATGTTCTCTGGAAAGGCCAGCCCACTAGGGGTCGCCCTCCCATTTCTTTTTTCCTTGCTGCTTTCTTGTTTACTTTCAAACATCCAGAATTCCCCTCATTGCATTCACAGACACACACATCCTTCTCAATTTGCACACACATCTTTCCTCTTCCAACTCATCTTTCTCTTTTTCCTCAGGTTTCCAATCCTATCCTGATTTCCTCTTCTATTTATTTCGAGCAAGGGAATTGATGCCATTACCAGCTCTATTTCCCCTGTAGCTTCAGTCCAGATTGTCACATCAATCCCTTCAGCTAACTCCAGAGGCCTCTTCAAAGCCTCTTTCCTTCCTCCAAACAACACATCCACAAACCATCTCTCTCCTTCCTTCTTCCATTTCCTCCCTCATCTTTATCATCAAATCTACGTGCAACAAACAATCTTAGCTTCCCACTCCTGTCTTCTCAAGTACACCAGAAATTGTGGAAAAGCAGAACAATAGGGTAGCAAGACATTATTTACATAGTGTTGACACATGGTAGAGTTTTAGCAAAAGATTCCATTAATCAATAATGAGTTTTGTGTTAAGTTGAGACATAAGATCACGGCCCCACAGGTTAGTATGTAATGGAAGAACCAAGGGTTGGAGGTAGGCAGTCCCCGAACGGCTGGGCCAATCATCCGGCCACTCAGCCGTTCAGATGACACCTACATCAGAGACCCAAAAAGACTTTGTTACAGATTGTGAATTGTAACAGAGATGTTAGGAGCATAGAAGCCATCATTTGCCATTCAGAGAAAAGAATATTATGATTATTAGAAATGTTTTCTAACAAGGTTCTAACATAGGGTGACTTAAGGCCATATTTGACAGTGGCGGATTTGAGTTCTTTCATGAGATCCCACTCCATAGGGACATACTGAGGGGCAGGATTTCCATTTCCACCACCTGCCGGGGCTTGGAGGACCATAGGAAAACAAGAGAGGTCCTCCGGATCTATTTTTCCTTGAATCAGTGCCTCCTGAAAGGTATTACGTACAGGCAAGGAGGCAGGAGAATCGTTGGATTTGATAGGGTTAACATCAGGAATGTGAGGGAGGTTGTAGGGAGGAGGGGGAGGGGGGGAAGAAGGGACAGCAGGATACAGAGCAGAAGGTGTGGAAGTTTCTGCCGAAGAAGGCAGGGGATTTTTAGGAGACGGAGAAGGCTGATCCGAAGTCTGATTAAGAATTGGATCAGAGATTGATTCAGAGGGGGGGATAAAGAATATTGATGGCAGTCATAAGAGCTCTCCAGGCATAAAGAATTTCCGGGGGGGCTCGAGGAGGCTCATGAATGTATTTTCCTATTTTTTCCCAAATAGATTGTTTAAGAGTGCCACCTTCTGGATAAGCGGGGCAATGTTTTTGAAGGAATAAGAGGAATTTAGTGATAGCCTTTTTTGAAATAGGGTAGATAGTTATACTGTTAGCTTTCTGCAAGTGATTCGCCTTCCTGACTAAGGAGTGATGCTTGGACAGAGTCTTGGAAAGTGGGGTGCCCATACTTACGATGCGCTGGCCGATCTCCGGTGCGTAAGATGAGAGTCAGGGCAGCACACTTCTTCCTGGAAGTCGTGCTGTGAAGAATCATGTCGTGAAGGAGGACCAGATGCAGCCAGATGCAGCTTTGCTAAGGGAGGATGTCCTCTTTGCAGAAGATTCCTGGGGAGGGATCCGTAACATGAAATGGCATCCCTGGGCTGCAGCTGGCTCGTCCGGCTGGGTGAGATCACATCGGGGTCACCAGTTGTGGCTTTTTGCTGCCTGCACCCTGGCGACGGCAGGGTCTGAGTTCAGAGCCCTGGGCCTCTCATGGTAAATAAATAAACACACGGACACAATGTTTACTCGGGATGAAGGCACTTGAACAAAGGGCAGGTACCTCCTTTTATTAGGTTGCTTGCAAGCGTCATAGCAGGAACAAGGAAATTTTCCTTATAAGGTAATCTACATAATTATGCTAATGCAAAAACTATATCATTGCTGGGGTCTTATCACCTCCACTCTTAGCCCTGCCCAATTACTTTCTTTTCCCACATAACTTTCGTTTCTTCAGCCAGTATTTTTCCCACACAGTCAGCACTTTATCACATAGCAACACCAAACTGTCCATCCAGCACTTCTACAAGGTTGACCATTGCAACATTAAGCGTCCATTTATTGTTGTATATTGCAACAACCACCCAACCTTGAGATCATTCGGATGGTCCTTCTCTGCTTCTCTCCCCTTCCTACACCTTAGGTAGTGGGTTGCAGGGTTACAGGGGGGAGAAGAAAAGGATGCATTGCTATTAGTTTTCTGTCCCTTGGAATCATTGCTCCATGGAATGGGAAAGTTTCCTTTTGCTCTGCATCTTTTGCAGTGGGCGGTTCCTCTACTTCTCTCATCTCCCTTTTTTTCCCCTGACAGGAGAAATGGGGGAGAGAGGAGGCACCAGTTTTCTGGGGACCACCTCCACCCCATTTCTCTTTACCATTGAAAGAAGAAGTGGGACAAGTGGCTAAACAACCACCTCTGGGGTTGGGGTGGGAAGGAGTCTTAATTGTTTGAGTATTGGGAAAACCGGGACCAAAAAGATCAGCTTTCCCTCTACTATATATCGCTACTTCTGAATCCATGGGAAAAATAGAGGGGGGGTAACATGTTTTCTGCCCCACTTCTCTTGCCAGTAGAACTTAGAGTGTAAGACAGCCCCTCCCTCTTTTTATTCAGGAAAGGTTCCTCCCTATTCACCCATCCAGAGTGAATATTAGGCACTGCAATGCTGGTCTGCAAGTGGGAGTGCATTTATGAGAGATGACCAGAAGATTTTTGATAACTAGCTCTAACCCTGGCAGGTGGGTAAGGCAGTGCTGTGTGAGGGCTGGGTGTACAGCTTTCCTTTCTCTTGACAGTGTTCTGATCCTACAGGTATCTCCATGGGATGGGGATATTTGGTTATCCTTCCTCTGGCAACATAATTCCTCAATCTTGGGAATTTGCTACCACATCTGGCAGTGTTGCCAAGAGAAATGGGGAGACAGTTCCAAGTGTGTCTACAGGGAGGGTTTCAAAATGTTAATATCTTTGTGATCGAAGCTTCTCCCTGTTTTAAAGTACATGTGCTGTGATTCATCTAAGAAGGAACAGGACATTGAGTGCATGGTTGGGACTGCCATCTTGATTCTGCATTGGTGTCTGTCTGTTTTCGACTTAGCCTGGAATCCTAGCGACTGCCTGGCAAATCCATGCAATTTACGTTTGTGGAATCGGTTTGCTATTTTCTTTTTCTTTAGGCTGAGAGGGAATGACTGACCCAAAGTCACCCAGCTGGCTTTCTAAGGCAGGATTAGAACTGAGCGACTCCTGGTGTCTAGCCTGGTGCCTTAATCATCTAAACCCAACTGTTTTATACAATTGCTTTGCCTTACTCCTCAAATTTTATGAAGGATATGATGAACAGTGGATTCCACTTGAAACCTTCCCAATGTGTTTCAATTTCCCCATTCTTTTTCCAAACCTATTTAGAAGGAAAACCTGCAGTAAGTGGTATAATACCTTGTGGCTGGTTCCCATTCAGAAATCTCCACTGGAAGTTCCCTGCAGCACATAATGCGTGGAAGAACCGATCTGCTATTCTAGCCTCAAGCAAGATGTTGAAAAGCAACTTATTCACAGTTTATCACTTTGGAGTTTGATTCTTCTCTCTTCTTACTACAAACCCTGACTGCACAAAATGTAGAGATGACTTTTAGGATTTATGTACAAGGTTGACTTTTGCTGAAGGGGGCGATCTAAGATTGTTTGCAACATTCCTGTATTAAAAAGGAGAAGGATACTCAAACCACAAACATGAGGAAAGAATGTACTGTTAAAGGAAACGTTCATGCTTTTTAAAAAATTGTCTTGGTTTGGCTGTTGTTTTCATAGCCATAAAAATGGAAAGTATGCAATGAGTGATTCACTAACTCAGTGATTATTTAATGCACGTTCATATTTCTTCCTCATAATTTGCATAGAGAGCATTTCCCCCTTTTTAAACATCCTGTTTTGTAAATTCTTATGTTTGCATTTCAATCCATATCAGTTTTGTTATCTAATGGACAGGAATTGTGAATGATGGTATGCATCGCTTTTCTTTAGCTTCAGTAGCTAACTTAGTAATTCCGCTGTGAGCTGCCTGTTGCTGTAACAGAGCCATTCCTTCTTGTCTCCTCCTCCTCCTCCTATTCTTCCTCCTCCTCCTGGCATTTCAGTCTGGAGGCTGCCTAGTGTCTGGAGTATTTTTTTTTTCCGCCTCCCTGAACTTTCTACTTCGAAAACAGCTTTTTAAAGTTTGCTTGAAACAATGCTTCGGGTAATTGTAGAATCAGCTGCAAATATCCCTAAACATACATTTGGGAAACCAGATCCTATTGCATCAATTATTTTTAAAGGTAAGGATAACTAATTTTGGAAGGTTTCTTTTCTTTCTTTTCTTTTCTTTCTGGCATGATTAGAATAAGATTGCAAAGAGCTTCTAAAGTGTATAGCTTCTTTTTTAATGATGAAAAACAATCTGGAGATCTATTTAGGTGCCTCAAAAAGCATATTTCATTGCACCTACATATAGGAAACTCACCTTCAGTTTTGGTGAATGGGCAAGTGAATTATATTTTGGCACATGAATTATTTTCCTACCACAGAAGATGTCTGGTTGTTAACCTGCTATACAGAAATGCTAGCCCTGATTGATTGAATGCTGGTAGGAAGAGTATTATTTAAAATATTTAAATGCTACTTACATTATTAAATAAAATTTTTCCATGACCTTTCTTGTTTGAATTATTAGTACATTAACCAAAAGTAAAGGAATACATGAAAAGCAATAGGATTTGAATTGTATTTGCAAATTTTGTAGTGGACTTTATATTGGTCCTTTGGTTCACTATTTAGTTGGACGTGTGTTGGATGTTAGAGAAATCAAACAACCTTTGCTCAGTATATATATCAATTTGGGATACAAATTCCAGTTAAGACAGTTATATTAATTGATGTTGTACTGAATAAGAATACACATTTTATTGGAAAAAGTAGGACTAACAAGACTGGACTAGAATTAGTTTTCTATATTCCTCTGCTACCATCTAGTGGTCCTCTGGATTTCTGCTGCCCAAATTTAATAGAATTGCTAAAGATTGTGGCTTAAGCCTTAAAAATGTACATGGGAAGCTTAAATGGCATGGCGGGAAAAAGTATTCATTTTATTTTTATTCTTCATTTTGTTCTTTTAAAAAAATGATTCTACCCTAATATGAAGTCTTTATCAAATGAGGTCTGGTGAACAAGGAATGCTTGGCTTTATTATCCCTGATCTTTTATGATAATTAAAAAGTTAACTGCACCTCTTATTTCAAAATTAGTCACCCGGAGCTGGTGGAATTATTGGTGTATAAATATATAAATCAGTAGATAAAGATAAAATCTGGGACTTTTAAACTGTAAGAAGATGAAGCCTGGTGATTTGTTTTGCAACTTGTTTATGAATCATTCATTACTCAAGGCTAGTTTTCCAGTTTTCACTTATATTTCAAAGGGGCCGCAAATACTTTTTTTTTTCCAAATTGGCTTTCTGTAACCATAATTAAGATGCTTAAAAGGTACTAACAGAAATTAATTTTTATGTTTAGCTGGTATTTTCAAAATTCTTCATACCCTCTCTAAAGCTCCTGTGCTGTGGGTATTTGGGGGAACCCCTGCCCCCAAATAAAATTAGAGTGGGGTGCATTTGCTACACCCATCATGCAGCTGATTTTGTTGTTTAAATTTGAATAAATATGTTGAAACAAAAGCTTGGAAGAAAGGTCAAGAGTTACTGTGTGATTCATGCTTTTTCCCCCATGGAAAATGTTAATTGAAGCCTTCAATAAAACAAACTTTAAACAAAGAAGCAAACTAAAGATGCAGCCATGCTACAGTTCTGAGAGGATGTGTTGTAGGTGGTGTTTAAAGGCTTAGAATAAAAAGTATTTGTGAGCAGAGACATTTCCACAGAATAAAAACTAAAACACCCTGCACGAAACAAGGATGGGAGATTGGCTTGTGATAAAATGTTTAGGAGCAGTGTCTTCATCCTTGTTCCATTTATTTCGGAATGTTCAGGTTGTGATGTTGCTATGTACCCAAAATACACCCACTCACCAGGGAGAAGTATCAGCAGGCCTGAAGAAATCTCTGGTGTTTGCAGAAGTACAAAGATTGTAGGAGGAAAAAAGACATCTTGGTGGAAGCTTAGAAGGGTTAGGGTTAGAGACAAAGAAAGACAAAATGTCCTTTGTGGCATTTAAAGCTAACTCAAAATGAATGGTTAGAATTTCAAAAAACAAGTCTTCAACACGTTCTAGATCCCGGTTATATATGCTAAGAGCAACCTGGAAGGAACAGGTTTTGCTGAAATATAGATCAGCTTTATTGGCATATATTTTAAGGAACTGGATATTGTTAGTGCCATGGAATAGCAATTGAGGTCATTTCCCCACTTACAGCATTATATAGTTATCCTTTCATTGTTGTGCCAAAATGAGTATAATAAAGACAGGCTTCATATTACTTCAGTGACAGCTGAATAATACCGTGAAGATGCTAATGAGAAAATTGCTTGAATAATAGAAAAGTTGGGGAGGAGGGGAGAGAAAGGAATGGAATGGAATATCCTGAATAAGATAACTATTCATATCTGTAGTTTAGGGTTGGCCTAAATTCATATGATCAAGTTCAAGTTGAACCAATTTCAAATATTCATTGCAAAGGATGGGTTCAAAGTGATCTGTCTCCTCCCTCCAGGGAGAAGGAGAGGATATCAACCCAAAGTAAATTGAACGCCCCCATTTTATTTTTATATCTGGCCTTATCTAGTGCTTCAGCCTGACCTACCCATTGGCTAACATGAAGTGATGCTAGCCATGGATGGTGTCTTGAAGATCCTTTGGCCCTGCTTGGAAACCCCATTGGGTTCAATCTGCTGATTGGCTAACATGTAGCTGCATTAGCCAATGGGTAAGGCATCCTTCGTCCCAAGTGAATTTGAAGCACTCCTTCAGAGAGAAGCAGCTGAAGCTTCTTTACTTTTCTATCCTAAAATTGCTTGCTCATAGTCTAGTTCAGGGGTCTCCAACCTTGGCAACTTTAAGACTT